ATACTTTTTATACATTTGTATAACTCCCTGATTTTACATCACATACGAATAATTATATTTCTGTGATCAGCATAACGTGGGGAGCAACATATGTAAAAATCACATGAATCCGTCCAGGGGTTAAAAAGTTAGGTTGAGGTCTCTTTAGGTCTATTTTACACTGAGAAAATGACTAAGTCCCATTCGAACGAGCGTTCGAATCTTCGAACGGGATTTAGTCTCCAGCCACGGTGTCGAAGTAAAGTAGAAGGTATGGGTCAGCGGTGTTCGTGCAATTGGGTAGCCGAAAACAGTTCCATAGATTTGGCTGCACACACCTCTGAACGCGTTTGAATGAGTTAAAATGGCTGCCTCCATGTGTTTGTTTGTCGAATGTCGGCCACTTCGACTACTTCAGCACTTTGGCTGTATCCGAAATGTCAATTTAAAGTTGTAACACTGCTCCAAAGTAGTTAAAGGGCCAGGAACCGCAATATAAAAATCCATTATGTCCAAATCAGTTCCTAGAAGGGCAATACATGCCAGGGCCATAGTCGCAGGGCAGGAGGCTGGCAAACAGGCCCCCCAAAAACCAGTGGCGAGGTTACTTTTGCCACACTACTTACTAAGTTTACTTTGAAGCGTTTTTCTTTTCACGCTGAACTCTTTGTGAGTTATTACTGTTATGTGTATCTGTGTGTCTGTATCTGTGTCGGTTTTGTATCTTTATTTGTATGTGTGTCAGTGCGTGTATCAGTGTGTCAGTGTTTGCATCTGTGTCTGTGTATCTGCATGTGTGGCAGTGTGTATCTTTGTGTCTGTACATCTGCATGTGTCAGTATGCGCATCAGTGTGCCTGTGCAACTGCATGTGTGTCTGTGCACCTACATGTGTGTCAGTGTTTGGATCTGTGTGTCTGTACATCTGTATATGTGTCAGTATGTGTATCAATGTCTGTGCAACTCTATGTGTGTCTGTGCATCTGCATGTGTCTGTGTGCCTACATGTATTTGTGCATCTGCATGTGTCAGTGTTTGTATCTGTGTGTCTATGTATCTGCATTTGTGTCAGTATCTCTGTATCTGTGTGAGTGTGTCATTGTTTGTATCTCTGTGTCTGTACAACTGTATGTGTGTGTCAGTGTTTGCACCAGTGTGTCTGTGTATCTGCATTTGTTTGTATATATGTATCTGCACATGTGTCATTTTTTCTTTCTGTGTATCTGTATGTGTGTCAGTGTTTGTATCTGTATGTGCATGTATGCCAATGTGTATTTCAGTGTTTGTATCTGTGTACCTGCATATTTGTCAGTATGTGTATCAGTGTGTCTGTGCATCTGTATGTGTGTGTGTTTGCATCTTTGTGTCTGTGAACCTGCATGTATGCCAGTATGTGTGTCTGTGTATAAGCGTGTGTGTCAGAATGTGTAACTCCATCTTTATCTGTATGTGTCAGTGTTTGTATCTGTATGTCTCTGTATCTGCATATGTGTCAGTGTGTGTATCTGTATCTGTGTGAGTGTGTCATTGCTTGGATCTGTGTGTCGGTACATCTGTATGTGTGTATCTGTGTGTCTGTGCAACTGTATGTGTGTCAGTGTGTGTATCTATGTATCTGTGCATCACTATCATTGTTTGTTTTTTTGTCAGTGTTTGCATCTGTGGCTTTGTGTGATTTTATGTATATGTACCTGTATGTATGTCAGTGTTGCATCTGTGCTTGTGTATCTGTATTTGTTGTTGTGTCTGTGTTTGTATCTGTGTCTTTTTGTGATTTTGTGTGTCTGTATCTTTTCCAGTGTTTGTATCTCTGTATCTGCCCGTGTCAGTTTGTGTATCTGTGTATCTGCATTTGTGTCAGTGTTCCTATCTGCACAGTGAGCAGGGGGAGCCTGGAGAAGCAGTGAGAACCTAGGGCAGAGGAGAAGCAGGGAGAGCCTGGGGCAAAGGAGAAGCATGTAATGTTTGGTGCCGAGGAGAAGCAGATGTAGCCTGGGGCAGAAAAACAGGGGAGTCTGGGGCAGAGAAAAGCATATAAATTTGAAATAACAGCAAATATTTTAATAACAAACATTTTGCTAATATTTATTTATTCATAAAATATTTTACCAGGAAAGATACATTGAGATTTCTCTTGTTTTCAAGTATGTCCTGGGTCCACAAATCATTGCATTGTTACATTAGGGTACAATAAAATACAAAAACAATATTAATACACAATAAATACAAAATTTAACATAGAACAGGTAGGAAATATATAATCAACCATGACAGGTGCATTCTGTTTTGAGGTATGTAGAGAGGGATCTCTTAAAGAACTTTAGGCTTAGGGATGATTTTAAATTGTGCGGGAGGTCATTCCACAATTGCGGTGCTCTGTAGGAGAAGGAGGATCGGGCCGTTTTATTTTTGTATTGAGGTAGACTAAGTAAAGTGTTGGTACTGGATCGGAGCTTATAGGAAGTGGGAACAGCTGGGGAAAGTATTTTGTTCAGGTAGGGTGGGAGTTTCCCAGAAAAGCTCTTAAACACAAGGCTGGAAAGATGAAGGGTGCGTCTGGATTCCAGCGACAGCCAGTTTAGTTCTTTTAGCATATCACAATGGTGGGTCCTGTAATTACATTGTAGCACAAATCGGCAGAACGAGTTATACAATGTGTTGAGTTTATTAATGTGGGATTGCGATGCAGATGCATATCCTTATAATCAATGATTGGCATCAGCATTTGCTGTACAATCTTTTCCTTTACTGTAGGGCTTAGGCAGGATTTGTTTCTGTACAGGGCTAGTTTTGGATAAAGTTTAGATGCAAGCTTTTCTATGTGCAGGTCAAAAGATAGATTGGGGTCTAATATCATACTCAAGTATTTGAAAGAGTAGACTGCGGTCAGTGTGCCATTTGAATTTGTTTTGATGGATAGGTGGGAATTGTGTAATTTGTGTAATTTAGGTACTGTTCCAAAGATCATTGTGACAGTTTTGTCAGTGTTCAGGAAAAGTTTGTTTTTTGCGATCCACCTTTCTACCTCTGTAAACTGGTCTTGGAGCACAGCCTCAAGTTGAGGTAGATCGGATTTGCTCGCATAGATTACCGTGTCATCTGTGTACATGTGTACATTTGAGGATTTGCAGACATTAGGCAGATCATTTATAAATAATATTTAGGGGGCCGAGAATGGAACCCTGGGGAACACCACACATGACTGGGAGAGGGAGGGAGTCGCTGTCAGAAATGGACACATTGTGAGCGATCCGATACATACGATCGAAACCAGGTTAGCGAACGATCATCAATACCTGAGTTTTTGAGTTTGTGCAGTAGAATGTCGTGGTCTACTGTGTCAAAGGCCTTAGCAAAATCAAGGAAAATAGCTCCAGTTAGGGCTCCTTGTTCCATGCCAGTTTGGATGTCATTGCAAACTTTTAAGAGGGCAGTTGTAGTGGAGTGATTCTGGCGAAAGCCCGATTGATCAGGGGTCAGATAGTTAAATTGTTGGTAGTACTCACAAAGTTGCGTATGGACACATTTTTCTAAGATTTTTGACAATACTGGGAGCAATGATATTGGGCGATAGTTAGAAACCAAAGTAGTGTCACCACTTTTATGGATAGACACTACTCTCGCAGTCTTCCAAAGTTTGGGTATGTATCCAGACACCAAGGATTCGTTAATTAGAGTTGAGACGGGTTTAGCAATTGCCGGCGCACTGAGCTTCAACAGCATTGCTGGGATTTGATCAGGTCCGGACTGGTTTTTCATTTTTAGATTATTAAGATGTTTTTTAATGACACTAACAGGTACAGGTCTAAAAATAAACTTGTCTATATTGGGCCTTTGCAAATTTAGTGTGTCCTGATCCACATTAGTAGTTTCAGGATGCGTATTATTTATTAGCTTGGCAATCAGGGCAGTAGAGCATCTGACAAAATAATTGTTAAAGGCATTTTCTACATCTAAGGGAAGTTGCAGGGTTTGGTTACCCACTTTGACAGTGGAGGGTTGGGAGTAGATTGGGGGAGTTTGTAGTTTATTTATGACTTTCCAAAAGTTTCTAGGGTTTGAGATGTTATTGTTGAGATTTTCATTGAAATATTGTGCCTTGGCCAAATTTGTCTGTTTTGTGCATATATTTCGCCATTGTCTATATGCACAGTGATCATTCATAGAGCCAGTACGCGTAAACCACAATGAATCCCGAAACTGGAACATTTGGATGAGGTCAGCTGTAATCCAGTTCTTATGTGCTTCTTTTACCCTCACCTTACGCAGCGGGGCATGCAAATTCCAAATTTGTAGGAGTTCAGACTGAAAGAAGTCAACAGCACAGTCTAGATCTGGGATAATGTTTAATCTGTGCCATGGGAGGTTCTTGATGTCATTTAGAAAGGATTCAAGATTAAATTTTTTGAAGGACCTAGTTATTTTAACCTTGGGAGAGGATTTAATAGCCTTCATTTTGCGCACGCAGTACACTAAACAGTGATCACTGAAAATGTTTGGGAGAACACGGGCCTCCTGGATTCTATCATGAGAAGTGGAGAGAATAAAATTGAGCAGGGTATGGTTATGGCTTTTAATGTTTGCGCGAGTTGGGGAAGAGATTAATTGTGTTAGCTGCAATGTCTTAAACAGCGTGCAAGAACTATTATTTTTAGTATTCAGACAATCAATATTAAAATCTCCAAAGACCAACAGTTCACTTTTTGGGTTTTGAGCTATGGTTTCACTAAGGAGATGGGCTATGTCGGTATGTATGTATGTATGTATATATATATATATATATATATATATATATAAATTTATTTTTTTTCAAGTGCAGAATTGTACATATAGGAATACAATTACTTTTCTCAGATGATATAAACATCAGCCAAATGTATATTCACAGTATGAGATGTTACTAACATAGCACTTATTTTTATTGCAAGTAATTGGAACAAACTGTATAACGATTGCCAAACTAAAGTATGTGTAAGCCACCCGTGGGTCGTTTGTCTAAGTAAGTCAGATGGTCTCTTCACTTTAGCGAGGTATGAGAGTTGGAAGCCGGTCGCCAGGGTAAATACGGATAATCAGCCAGATTACTTTATATGATAGTAGTATGTCCAGTTTTGCTTGGCCCAGGTGTATTGCATCTTGTGCGGCATCTTGTGAATGCAACTGAGTTGTATTAGATTTGTTTATGTGGCCTAGGCTATTTGGTGTCGAGTGGACGGTGTGCAGGAGATAGGGCCCTGTCTCAACAGGGGTGAACAAACAGCAATTATCCTGATTTGGAGGTAGCAAAACTCACACATTTTGAAAAAGCTGAGCATGCAGTTTGGTGCAACAAATCGTATTTATAGTCAGAGTCAGATTTTCAATCCATCAAAAAAATCATCGAAAGCACCACCTGCAATTTCTTGCATTTACTTTCCATGGATTTTGGATCCAAAACATGCAAAAGTTAATACGATTCTTCACTGCAAGTTTTCACATACAAATAATCCAGGGGGCTTACCAACTATACTCTATAATCCACTTTGCACAGCAAACATTCTACAATGTCTTGGTGAGCAAAATCTATGAATTTATGATGCAAAAAATCATGAATAAACAATTCTATCTATTTCCTATGGTAATGGCATAAATATTGCACACAAAAAACAATGGCCATGAAACAAAACCATAAAACATATTTTTTAAAACCCTAAATAGGATGAAACGTCATCACCACATTTTGACTTAGAAAAGCATTGAAAAAACATTGAATCCTTTATACGACAAACTAAATAGGAATGTATAAATAGAAAGGCTTTTTTGGCATAATTTCATAACCTAAGTTTAATAAACCTAGCATTTTTGTAAAAAAAAAAAAACATTTTCATTCACAAAAACACTTGGAAAGGGAGAGAAATGTAAATCAAAATTCAGAATATTGTATGCATTATTTAAAAAAAATAAATGCATGGCCTATTAAACAATAGTAGGACACCAGCACCGAGCCAAAATGTAACTTTGCATCAATGCATTTCCTAGAAATGTAAAGTTAGAGGTTATATGTCTTGGTCAATAAATATATCTCTGTTGTAATTGCAGGAAAAATTACATTTATTTATATGTTATACAAAGTCAGATGGAAGTTTATAAATTTAAATAGTGAATTTTGAAATTACTTCAATCTCCATAACCACTGTATCCCACTGTAATAGAGTTTTAGGAGTCGATTGGGGCCGCCCCATGGTAAAAAGTAGAACTGTTTTAGTATGGTTTGGCAATTTACTTAATTCCCGCCATCATGTTCTCAGCATACCTGTATCTGGACATATCCTTTAGAAAAATCCACTTAGCGCTACAAAGCTAAGTAGTGTCAGGCAGGACTTCGCTCATTGGCCAAGAATGTCAGCTGAGTGCCCTCAGCCAATAAGCGCAGTCCTGGATCAGCTGTGCTTAGCTTTATATAGAAATTTAGTGTCAGACAAACATATCTAACAGGCCCTTGCTTAATGTCTGTTGTAAGTCACATGAAGACCTACATGGATTGAAATGTGAATCCCTACATTGCAACATCAAAGTATATTCAATACATAATGATTCTTTTTTACTGATGAATTGACTATCATTTTATGTTATTTGATTTTATACCGCTGTCTGTTTCATTACTTTAAGTGATACTGTGATACATTAGAGGCAGCTTGTTTATTTTATATAGTGATGTACCGAACGGTTCGCTGGCGAACGGTTCCCAGCGAACATAGCATGTTCGCGTTCGCCATGGCGGGCGAACATATGCGCGGTTCGACCCGCCCCCTATTCGTCATCATTGAGTAAACTTTGACCTTGTACCTCAGTCAGCAGACACATTCCAGCCAATTAGCAGCACACCCTCCCTAGCAGACCCTCCCACCTCCTGGAAGGCATCCATTTTAGATTCATTCTCAAGCTGCATGCTTAGTAAGAGGAGGGAAAGTGTAGCTGCTGTTCATTAGATAGGGAAAAGCATAGCTAGGTTAGGGTTAGGGTATGCTTTTTTTTATTTATTTTTCTATGTAATGTAATTGCACTTAGTTGTCTGCCACTGCTGCCAGCTTCTGTGTCAGGCTCACAGTGCATACTGTGCCCATTTCCCCAGTCAGTGCCACCAATTACATCTGGTGTCACAATAGCTTGATTTAAAAACAAAAAACTTTTTTTACTGTTATAGATTGAATAGCAGTCAGTGTCCTTAAAGCGGGTGTGTTACGCTAACAGTGGATACGGTGACCAGTGCCACCACTTAGATCTGGTGACACAAAGCTTGGATTTAAAAACAAAAAACACTTTTCTCACTGTTATAGATTGAATAGCAGTCAGTGTCCTTAAAGCGGGTGTGTTACGCTAACAGTGGATACGGTGACCAGTGCCACCACTTAGATCTGGTGACACAAAGCTTGTATTTAAAAACAAAAAACACTTTTTTCACTGTTATAGATTGAATAGCAGTCAGTGTCCTTAAAGCGGTGTGTTACGCTAACAGTGGATACGGTGACCAGTGCCACCACTTATATCTGGTGTCACAATAGCTTGGATTTAAAAAAAAAAAACATTTTTCACTGTTATAGATTGAATAGCAGTCAGTGTCCTTAAAGCGGGTGTGTTACGCTAACAGTGGATACGGTGACCAGTGCCACCACTTATATCTGGTGTCACAATAGCTTGGATTTAAAAACAAAAAACTTTTTTCACTGTTATAGATTGAATAGCAGTCAGTGTCCTTAAAGCTGGGTGAGTTACGCTAACAGTGGATACGGTGACCAGTGCCACCACTCACTGGTGTCATAATAGCTTGCATTTAAAAACAAAAAACGTTTTTCCCTGTTATAGATTGAATAGCAGTCAGTGTCCTTAAAGCGGGTGTGTTACGCTTACAGTGGATACGCTGACCAGTGCCACCAATTAGATCTGGTGATACAAAGCTTGGATTTAAAAAAAACAAACACTTTTTTCACTGTTATAGATTGAATAGCAGTCAGTGTCCTTAAAGCGGGTGTGTTACACTAACAGTGGATACGGTGACCAGTGCCACCACTTAGATCTGGTGACACAAAGCTTGGATTTAAAAACAAAAACACTTTTTTCACTGTTATAGATTGAATAGCAGTCAGTGTCCTTAGCGGGTGTGTTACGCTAACAGTGGATACGGTGACCATTGCCACCACTTAGATCTGGTGACACAAAGCTTGTATTTAAAAAAACAAAAACACTTTTTCACTGTTATAGATTGAATAGCAGTCAGTGTCCTTAAAGCGGGTGTGTTACGCTAACAGTGGATACGGTGACCAGTGCCACCACTTAGATCTGGTGACACAAAGCTTGTATTTAAAAACAAAAAACACTTTTTCCACTGTTATAGATTGAATAGCAGTCAGTGTCCTTAAAGCGGGTGTGTTACGCTAACAGTGGATACGGTGACCAGTGCCACCACTTAGATCTGGTCACACAAAGCTTGTATTTAAAAACAAAAAACACTTTTTTCACCGTTATAGATTGAATAGCAGTCAGTGTCCTTAAAGCGGGTGTGTTACGCTAACAGTGGATACGGTGACCATTGCCACCACTTAGATCTGGTGACACAAAGCTTGTATTTAAAAGAAAAACAACACTTTTTTCACTGTTATAGATTGAATAGCAGTCAGTGTCCTTAAAGCGGGTGTGTTACGCTAACAGTGGATACGGTGACCAGTGCCACCACTTAGATCTGGTGACACAAAGCTTGGATTTAAAAACAAAAAACACCTTTTTAACTGTTATAGATTGAATAGCAGTTAGTTATCTTCAAGCGGTGTCAGGCCTACAGCCTGTGCTCTGCACAACTGTGCCAAAGTGCATTGCCACTCATATCTGGTCTCACAGTAGCTTGCACGCATAGTACCACTAATCCCAACAAAAATGACAGGCAGAGGCAGGCCACCCCGCAGGGGCCATCGTGGTCATGGTGCTCTGATTCCCTTTGGCCCTAGAATAATGCCCAGTTTTCAGAGGCCACGTACCCTGAACTTGAAAAGTTCTGAGGACATAGTTGACTTGCTAACACCTGACACCCAATCTTCTACAGCCTCCGCTCAGAACCTTGACGCACCATCCTCCTCCAGCTTAGCTTCAGGCACCTCTCAAGATACCACTCACCCACCTGCCGCCACCACCAAAACTAGCACCACAGCCGCTTCGGTTGGTATGTCAGAGGAGTTATTCACACATCCGTTTGAAGAAATGAGTGATGCGCAACCATTATTGCCAGAGGATGCAGATAACAGGGATATGTCTCAGGCAGGCAGCATTACACACATGGACGTACGGTGTGATGATGATGATGATGTTGTACCCGCTGCTGCTTCCTTTGCTGGGTTGTCAGATACAAGTGAAGCGGTTGATGATGACGATGCGTCCATGGATGTCACGTGGGTGCCCGCTCGTCAAGAAGAAGAACAGGGCGAAAGTTCAGATGGGGAGACGGGGAGGAGGAGGAGACGAGTTGGAAGCAGGGGGAGGTCGTCGCAAGGAGCTAGTGGCACAGTCAGACAGCATGCATCGACACCCGGGGTCAGCCCGACAGCACGCCAATCAGCGCATGCTGTGTCCACCACCAGAATGCCGTCATTGCAGAGCTCAGCAGTGTGGAATTTTTTTTGTTTGTCTGCCTCTGACAACAGCGATGCCATTTGCAACCTGTGCCAAAAGAAACTGAGTCGTGGGAAGTCCAACACCCATCTAGGTACAACTGCTTTGCGTTGGCACATGATCTCACATCACAAACGCCTATGGGATCAACACATGAGTACAAGCAGCTCGCCTACTCTAAGCCGCCAGCCTCCTCCTGGTCCAGCATCTTCAGCCACGTCAACCACTGCTGTCCTCCTTGTCCCCTCTCAACCATCCGCCACTCCGCCTCCCGCCTTGAGCAGTTCACTCTCATCTTCCCACAGTCATGTGTCTGTCAAGGACATGTTTGAGCGTAAGAAGACAATGTCAGAAAGTCACCCCCCTTGCCCAGCGTCTGACCGCTGGCTTGTCCGAACTATTAGCCCGCCAGCTTTTACCATACAAGCTGGTGGAGTCTGAGGCGTTCCAAAAATTTGTAGCTATTGGGACACCGCAGTGGAAGGTACCCAGATGAAATTTCTTTTCACAAAAGGCAATC